ATTTTAATGCTTATTGTTGGTACACGTGGTGATGTTCAACCATTTATTGCACTTGCTAAAGCACTTCTTTCACATGGTCATCGAGTTCGTCTTGCAACACATGAAGTTTTTCGAACATTTGTTCGTGAAAATGGTATTGAATTTTATCCATTAGCTGGTAATCCAGCTGATCTTATGTCATTTATGGTTAAAAATGCTGGTATTGTACCATCAGTTAGTAGTATTGTAGCTGGTGATATTGCTAAAAGTCGTCGTGTTATTGCTGATATTCTTGCATCAACATGGAAAGCATGTATAGAAGATGATGATGAAACAGGTGTATCATTTATTGCTGAAGCAATTATTGCGAATCCACCATCATATGGTCATATTCATTGTGCACAAAAATTACAAATACCTTTACATATGATATTTACAATGCCATGGTCACCAACAGTTCAATTTCCACATCCTTTATGTAAAATAGATTATAATCGAGCATCTATTGAAAAAATCAATTTCTTATCGTATCATTTAGTTGAAGTCTTTGTAAGTAATTTACTAACTCAAGTTTTCAAAATTTTCATTCAAAGTCGTTTAGTCATGTAAAAAATGGAGATATTCAAAAATGTTCTTTCAATAATTGTATGCTTTGTTTACTAAAATTATTGAGCAAAAAACTGAAAGTTCAAGTCAGATATAATCAGTTGTTGATACAAAATTCTTGAGATTGTGTAATAAGTAAAAAAAAAAAAGGAATAAGATCAGGTGCTCGAAATGATGACTGGGAGGAAGAACAAAATTTATCGTGACTTGACCCCTCTTACAATAGATGACCCACTATTAAGGTCATCTCTGCCCACTCTTATTTACCTCGCAACGACATTGTTTGTATGGTGTTTCAAAATGCGATGGCTGTCCAAAATTATAGGAAAACTGTAAAAAATTGGCAGAAAATAGAACATTTTAGAAAAGTGGAAAGTCCTCATCCCTTCTAATCGGAAATCCTAGTCTATATGACCATTCGATAAGATAACACTACTAAAAGCTATAATTGATGACAGATCTCATACCAAATGTGTGCCTCAATAATGAATAATCAAAAACAAAGTGATAAAGCATTATATAGTTATAAATGATTAACTAAAAATAAATTTTTAGAATCAATAAGCAAACGTTAGAATATATTTGACCTAAAGTTTGCAGAGAAATAGTTATGAATGCAAAATATAACAAAATCATCTATTTTAGTAAAATCTGTTAGATTTATATGAGTAAAACCATATGATGATTAAGTGATAAAATCATCATATTGTATTTGATGATCTAATCGCTGTACATATAGACAATGACTTTTTTCCGTTGATATGTGTTTTAGACATGGTCTGGTATACGTAGTATAATTAATGAATTTCGTAAGGATACTCTTGGTTTATCAACGTTACATATTCGTCAAGCTGTTCGTTTAATGTTAGATGAACATGTTCCACATACATATTGTTGGTCACCTTCTCTTGTTCCTAAACCAGATGATTGGCCTGAACATGTTGATATATCTGGATTTTTCTTTCTTGATCTTGCAACAAATTATAAACCACCAGAAGATCTCATGCAGTTTCTTAAATCAGGTGATCCACCAATTTATATTGGTTTTGGTTCAATTACTGGTCATGATTCTGAACGAATCTTACAAGTTGTACTTGAAGCTTTAAGAATTACTGGATATCGAGCTTTATTTTCTGGCTTTGATGTAGATGTTGATAGTCTACCTGATAATATTTTAAAAATTGGCAATTGTCCACATGATTGGCTTTTTCAACATGGTAAGCCTTTTTTTGTGATTTAAGTTTCAAAAAAACCTGTTGTCTTATTTTAGTGACAGCTGTATGTCATCATGGTGGTGCAGGTACAACTGCAGCTGGTCTTCGTGCTGGAAAACCTACTATTATAGTACCATTTTTTGGTGATCAATTCTTTTGGGGATCAGTAATTAGTAAAAGTG